CATCCCAAAACCAATTGGTGATGGGAGGAGTAGCCCACTAGACTTATAAACTAGGCTCATTTACCCTATCAAATCAATGTGGGACAACTCACAAGTGCTATTCCCAACAATAATGCTCCCCTAACCCACGATGGGTACATGTTAATATGTCAACCGTTTATGTGACATGCATATATTGGTGATGTATTTTTTTGAATTTATTAACATCACCAATGTGTGCATGCGACATAAACGATGGACATATTAAAATGTGCCCACGTGGGTAGGGGAGCATTACTGATTATTCTAATTAGTATCATAATGCATTTACATAATATTTACTATGTGATCTGGACTCAAATTAATACTATATTGAAATTTAACTGAAAAAAAGTGGTCTAACCCAGTTTTGCTTTTTTACTAATTTTCAATACTAAACTTCTTGTGAAAAAAAAAATAATAAATAAATAAAGAAATTAGAAAAACTTTATAATAATAAAGACAAAATCGGTTAAAGAGGAAACTGGAAAGCACGTAAAGAGAGGAGGGTGGCGCGTAATAACCCAAAACACACGGCGAATTGTAACTCCACTCCCACTTGCGTACCATTTATTTATTCATTAATTGTAACTTCGCCAGCCACATATCCCATATACAAATAAAAGAAAATAATAATAATAATAATAAAAAAATCCAAATAAACAAAAGTAATAATTTCTTGTCAGCTATATAATACTATAGTCAAAACACTGTTTAATCTTTCACTAAATTGAAATTCGGTTAGGATTTTCATTTTCAGCGAGAGTAAAAATGCCGATTTGTCGATACGAGATAAGGAATGAGTTCAGCTTGGCCGATCCCGTGCTTTATCGAGCCGCCGATAAGGACGATCCAGAGGCTCTGCTCGAAGGCGTCGCCATGGCCGGCTTGGTCGGCGTTCTTCGCCAGCTCGGTGACCTCGCTGAGTAAGTTTTTTGCCTTTGATTTTCTTTTTTTTTTCGAAGATTTAATCATCATTCTTTGTTTTTATTTATTTATTTATTTTTTTTTTTGGAGTTTAATATTTCTAGAATATCTCGGTATCAGATTAGGTCTGGGGATTTGTTTGGAGTTCGACGGAGCTTTCTTGGCAGGGCAGAGGATTTATTTATTTATTTATTTATTGTAAATATTGAACTCTTACTAATTACCTTTCAGCTCTACTGTTTCAAGCTGTCTCTGGTTTTGACTTTTGAGACATTTGAATATAGTGCGCTTCATGCTTAATTCTGCTTTTGCGGTTGTTTATGTTTGAATTTTGGGTGTTTTGGATGGAATGTGAGAAATGGTGGTTATGTGCGGATATATTGCGACATTTATAGCTAACCGGCCCTAGTTCCGCAGTGAAATTGCTTATCTATCAACTAGATCTTTTTATTAGATTCTCTCAGTCATAACTCATGGGATCAAGAAAAAGTTGTGTTTTGGTAAGTAATGCGGCTTTTACGACGGATGGCGTGAATCGTTTGTCGATGCTTTCGTCAAATTCAGTCTGCAAATTTTTAAAATATTTTTTGATTTCGGAAAAATGATATGTAATCCACCTTGAGTATATTATAAAGCAATTACAAGATATGCATTTTGGATTTCATTCACATTTGTCGCTTTGTTAATGTTATGCAGAGTATACAGATTGGTGCAGATATAATTTTAGAAAAAAAAAAAAAAAAAAAAGTAATCGGCATTCAGTAGGAAGAATCTGATAGTTTTTTTGTTGTGCATGATTGTATGAAGGCTTGCTGCAGAGATTTTTCGTGATCTGCATGAAGAGGTATTAGCCACTGCTGCAAGAGGGCACGGCTTAACGATTCGAGTCCAACAGCTTGAGGCTGAGGTTCCTTCAGTTGAGAAAGCATTTCTCTCACAGACTAATCATTCACCATTCTTCAACAATGCTGGTGAGAGCCTGCACCTCTTTCAACTTTAGCATTGCGCCAAGCTCCCTTCTATTATTTCATTGAAGAATTAACTGTATGTCACTTCACTGCACCCAATTTAGACACGTGCTATATGGTTGTTATTCTCGGTTTCCTGTGTTCCATTCAGAAGATGTAATTTAATGTGTTTGGGATTTGTGTTTTAGGTGTTGATTGGCATCCAAATCTACGAATGAGCGAGAATCTAGTAACACAGGGTGATTTACCTCGATTTGTAATGGATTCTTATGAAGAATGCCGGGGTCCTCCCAGACTGTTTCTTCTAGACAAGTACGATTCATTAGTCTTAAAGTAGAGAAATATTTTCTCTTGCTAGAATACTCCTTGACATGAATCCTTGCATATAGGTTTGATGTTGCGGGAGCTGGAGCATGTCTGAAACGTTACACTGATCCTTCATTATATAAAGTAGAAATGTCTGCCATGATTGATTCCGATGTTCACAGAGGAAGGAAGATTCGGAAAGCGAAGGTAATTCATTATGAAACAAAATTAGATACTTCTGCAGCATGTTACAACCATCGGAACCTTAGATAACATTTGTCTTTTACAGTGACAATTTTTGTCTGCTTTCTTCTGACTGGACCTCCACCCCCACCCCCCCACTGAAAAATAACAATGAACTCACCAATTCTCCTAGAATTAAGCCAATTGAGATTAACATGGACGACAATTTTAAAATCGTGATAAATTAACAAACCCATGATGTTGCCTCAGGGAGTAAAGTATATACTCCGCTATTGTCCTAAATATGTATCATTCTTCATATTCTCCCAGCCAATTTATCTTGTGTAATGGAATTAGAAGCACAATTCAAACACCACATGACTCTTCGTTTGATTGCCTATAGTGTCCATTTATTGATCTCCGCACTCTTTAGTAATCATTATCGGCATCTTTAGCAGAAGAAAGGGGCACGTGGGAGAAATGGAGAAACACCTGAAGTTCAACCACTGTCACAAGCAAAGTGAGATTATCAATCTTTTGCTACATCGCTCTTTTCTGTTCCATTATTTTTCAAAAACAAAATAAAAAATTACACCTAATCCTTTGTACCTGCTTATTACAGCCTCCATCAGTTTCTCCTGGAGGAGTCTGTTGAAAATGGTGTCAGCAAACCTGCACGTCGTGTGAAATTAAAGAGGCGGCCACAATATTCTCCCTTCGACTCAAAAACTGGAAGGAGCTATATGGAAAACTTCTTGAAACGTTCTTCCCCAGAGCATCAAATGCTTCGTGAAATCACTGAAGTTCCAAGACCTAGATCATCGAATCCTTCAAGAGAGCATGTCGAGACAAAAGGAATTCTACCTCCAGCTAGCGAGCAAAATATGCAAAAATTCTTGAAATTTGAGACTGATGAGGTTGCTGTCTATGAAGCATATAACAATGTAACAGATTGTGTTCCTTCTACTTTCAATGAGGAGACTGGTGAAAAGGATATAGCAGTAGATGGGCAAGGCAAAACCGAGGGTTACTTAACTAGTTACCAGTCGGATGAGTTTGCAAGTGAGATGGATAATTTTGTTGATGCACCTTCAACCATGGACTCGGAAATGGACACAGATTCCGAGTTGAGAGTGAATAAGGATTTCGCCTCATCTTCCATCGACAGTCAACAAGCTGAAAAGCAAGTAGGACATCTTTACTCTCTGTCATCAGATTCTCGTTATACTGGAGACTCTATATCAGATGATACCAACAGTTCATCCAAAAAGGAAGTATCTAGTTTCTTATCTTCTGATTCTCCAATAAGCTCAGCTAATAAAAATCTACACTCACAAGAGATATTTACTGACGGAAATGCACCTGCTGAGGTCCCAGAAACTACAGTAGTTGATGAAGCAGTTGCTCAGAAAGCGTTTGATGAGGTCCAAGTGGATCCACTTTCAAAACAGGGAAGCTTTGATGATGCGATTGTTGAGAAAGATTCAGTCACCAATGACAGGCCCGACTTTGAGCAGCAATTACCAAAGTTAGATGAAACAGTCTCAACAATAGATGATGAAGAAAAAAAGATAAACATGTTAATGGACGTTCCATGTTCTCCTAGTTTCTCTGGTGCCAATTCACAGCCGGAAATTGGTTCTCCACAGTCCTCATCTGGAGAGCATCTAGTGGATGAACCAAATAGTGATAGTGAACCTCTTACGTCTTCAGTTTCTGTTGCCGCTTATCATACCACAGGTGATTCAGCTCCAATACCTGATTGTTTGCTGCGTGAAGGTGAGTATGATCACAAGGATCTTAGTCAATTTGAAAACACACAGTCCATGTTAAACACCAGTAACGATATTTCTCAGAGTGTAGTTGTTAATGAAAAGATCAATAATATAGAGAACCCACTTCCAGGTAAATTGGATGATGAAGCCCCAAAGTTGACTGAAATTTTTCCTTCTGATGATACTGATACCAACCATACTAGAGACAGTATAACATCAAAGCTTTCAGAAGTAGAAAAGCTAAACGACAAGCTGGATAATGAGGACTCAAATGTTATTTCTGATGCTTCAAATCATTCCTTGGGCATCATGGAGACTTCTCTGGGGAAAGAACTCACAGAAACATCACTGACCAAAGATGAGATTGTAGACACCAAAGATCATTACTCTGATAGCTCCATTGGTAATCAAATAATATCAGAAACATTGATTTTGTCATCTACAAAAAACTCTCCTGATTGGGAGGAGGAGGAGGCAGTACTTGATGCTCATTATAAAGATTTCATTCCCATGGAAGAAACTACAGCAAATGAAACTCCCACATTTGGAAATCCAGAATCTTTTGAAGTCATTGAGCCGCATGAAATGGGATTATCTGATAGCTTGACACTCACACCAAATGATGTTGTAGGTCCGGGAAATTTGTCTTGTGTTCCAGAGTATCTTGGAGATTCCACAATAACGACAGGCGTTGTAGCAAATGAAGAAATTGACCCAGACAAGGATGTCATTGGACTAGAAGTTAGAGAAATTTCTAGCTATGAAGATACGAAATCACCAAGTGAGGTGCATAACCTGTTGGATGAATCTTATTCCAAGACAGATCAATCAGACAGTGGAGTCATGGCTTCTCCTGTATCTTCAGATTCTGATAATGCTATTGCAGAGGATGTTATTGCATCTCTTGATCATGGTAACATGGCCGATAAGTATATTAACTGTTCAAGCATGGTTGAATCTGAGGATGCCAGTGGTTACCTTTCGATAACTCGCACAGAATTAGGTTTAATGGAGGAAGTCTTTGCAGGAGAAGCCTCTACATCAGATTTATCTTGCTCCACTGTCAATTATTATGATCATCCTAAATTAGAAGTTACACATGCTGTTCCTCATTTGTATGTTAATTCCAGTGGCAAACCCACTGAAGCTCAATCACCTAATGAGCATAAACGTGGTGTAGATACGGATCAGGAACTTTCCAAGAAAAGTGGCATAGAGAATCAAGTCTCTGACGTGATATGCTTTTCTATTAAGCGTGATGCCGAAGAAACAGTGTCAGAAAAAATTGAAATACCACCTGCCAACCAAATTGATGAAGAGTTGCCGTATTTTGGTGAAAGAATTTCAGAGTCATCCCAAAACTTTAGCACTGATGCCCCTGGATATCCCAAGTATCCATTAGGCTTCATATTTCCCTCAGGTAATACTTTAGCTGAAATAAATCAGATCAATCTGGATGAATTACCTCCCTTGCCACCTTTGCCTCCTGTTGAGTGGAGAACAGGAAGGCTCCAGCATGCCTTGTCTACTACAGAGAGCGAAATGATGAAGCCCGCGGAGTTAATGCCGCAAGAAATATCCTCATGTGCCACATCAATTGGAAATGTTAATTCTTCAGTTGAAGAGAGGAACCATACTTTGTTTCCAAATGTATCCGAGAAGATATCGAAAGAAGAAAAGATCGAGCAAGTCTCTTCTGTGCATGAGACAATTGACCTCCCTCCTAAGATAGAAAATGAGAAGCAGCAGGAACGTTTCGTACCTCTTCCTCTGAATAGTGAAGTTGCATCACCAGCAGAGGAAGATGAAGTTGCGAGCAAGAGTCGGATGGTGAAACCGCCCAGACCACCCAATCCACTGATCGAGTCTATTGCAGTTCTTGATAAGAGCAAAGTAAGTATTCTTAGATTCCTCACTTTAATACAGTAATTGCTTAAAATTCACACATGTGATAATGATTCTGCAGCTGCGCAAGGTTGCTGAACGAGTTAGACCTGAAATACAGAAAATGGATGAAAGAGATTCACTGTTGGAGCAAATCAGGGCTAAGGTAAGAAAGTTTGACAAGACATTTGAATTTTTGTCTGTGGTAGGTTGTTATTTTTCCGGTGATCACTTACCAACCACTTCCATTTGTGTCAGTCCTTCAACTTGAAACCTGCTGTGGTTTCGAGGCCTTCTGTTAAGGGTCCTCAAACCAATCTTAAAGTTGCTGCAATTTTGGAAAAAGCAAATGCCATCCGGCAGGTATCCTTTTCTCCTATCTTTTATCTGTTTTTTGTCACCATTATGTTTCGATATTTTTGTCCAAATTAAATCCTAATTGAAAGTTCTACTTAAATTCCAGGCATTTGCTGGCAGTGATGAAGACGATGAAGATAATTGGAGTGATTCGTGAAAATTATCCATGGATATATTCTAAAAACATGACGTCGTAGAAAAGCTTCTTTACACATTTTATTCAAGTTTCATGTCATGTGCCTTTTGGTTTTCTCCTCTTTCACCTTTGTAATGTATGATTCAGTTTGTGTACATAATCCTAATAGAATTGATTCATGGATAAAGGGGTTGTGTGATTCAGTTTGTGTATATTTGTTATTTGAGGGTAAATGTTGCAATTTATGGAACAAACAATTTCCTTTCGTTGTTCTTGTTCTCAATTGTGAAAGTGTAGGACAAATCCATTTTTTGTCAATATTTGTTACAAGAAATAGTTTGTTAGCAATCTATGTGCTCTACTTTATTTTTATTTATTTATATATATTCATATCTAAGTTATTTTAATCATTGATAATTTTTTTTTTTACACAATAAGCATTTTATAAATAAACACATAATTACAACTAGAGATCAGTTAAAAGCCGAATTTAGTGAAGGACACCACAGAGGGAGCTTAAACACCACAACACACTTCACGACTTAAAAAAAAAGTAAAGGGACAAACATGCTTCATCAACTGATTTCTTTACTCCTTGCAGCCACTTATTTCTTTAGTCGACGGGAATGTGGATCCGGCCAAGGTAGATCTGAGGATCGTTGGGCTCTCCCTTTTTTCTTGTTTTGAGATCTGGGATTCGGACCGATCTCTTGTGTCACATTTTTGGGATTCTCAGTTCCGCAGCTCTGGTTCGGCTATGGAGGTTCGGCCCGGATGTAGTATCGGATGCTGGTAAAAATTCGACTATCGTTCTTGTTACTTCTCACCGTATTTGGCGGCGGTGGTCGTAGATTTTCGCCGAGATTCCGTCTCCGACGAGCCGAAATGTGGAACCCCTATGAACGGAAGAAGCTCCGCACTTTTTTGACGATGAAGACTGAAACGTATAATTATCACGGAGTGCGCTTATTGGTGGTACGAACTGAAATAAGAACTCAATAATGCGGAAGCAGAAAACCGAAGATTAAAAAAACTCTTCAGGGAAGTATCTCACTCCCCTCAGAGCTCTTTCATTGATAGATCAAACATACACATAGCTTGGACTTACAAAGACTCGAACTCCCTTCAAGCCTAGCCAACACTACTCAGATCCTATCAACTATTTCTCCGGCCACGTCCCGTGGACATTAACAATCTACACTTACTCCCTAAGTGTATAAGCTGTAAAGTAGTTTTGGATGAAACACAAAGAACTAAACAAAAAACAGTTTCAGTCCTTGAGTGAGTAAGAACTCTCAGACTGAACTGTGTACAACTGAACTTAAACTGAAAATACGAAGCTCAAATATTGCTCTAAAAATCTTCAAAACTCAGCAGCCGCAATGAGAGCTTCCACTAGGGTATTTAAAAATGAATCTCCTTAGGGTTGGAGTCTTCTACAAGGCATGGGACTCCAACCTTGATTTCTTTCCATACAAATAGCATATCTTAGGTAAGTAGATCTCCTCTTCTCTCTCCATAATCTTTTCTACACACGGCTCTTCTTCCCTTTATCTCTAGCACTTCCAATTTCCTACAAAATAAAATACCATAATAAGACCCACAATATCTTATATATATGGAATGTAAAATAAACTTAATTAAGGAAATAAAATATTTGAAGATCTTCCATTTTTCTGTGGTTCCAGGTGCTTGTTCGAACCAACGAACTAATGCCAAAATAAAATATCTTTCAATCTCCCCCTTTAGCGTCTAGTTCGAAAATAATAGACATCAAGGTCTCCTGAAATTAAAACAACAAGCACCAAGAAACTAATCACATCAAGGGGTTAGATCACACAGAAATATCATACTTGCACTTCTCCCCCTTAGTACCTGCAGTCAATACAAAAAGAATCTAACAATCATCTATTCAATCAAAATAAGCAGTCAACAAGAACATCAAGATCACCATCATTCAAAATAAGCAAAACAGTAGCAATAGTAGCAATACGGTCACATCATCAAAAGCAGACATAAGAGGTACTACAGCACTCAACACACATAGAGGGGACAAAGAGCAGCACTAATCCTCAAAGTAGTTTGCAATGGCATCATCCGTGTTGTCGCCCCCAGAATCTGAATTCTCACCATCATCAGCAGCAACATTCTTCTTGCTTGAAGCTTTCTCCCCCTTTTTTGAACTACGGGATGCCGAAGGGCCTGTCCCCGTGGTCTTTCGCTGCTTCCCTTTGACTGCTTGAAGAACCTGACGCAGATAAGACTGTTGAGCAGCAACCTTCTTGGCCAGGTCATCCCATTCACCCAACTGCTGAATGACAAGTTCGTCCCACTTAGTGGGAACCACTGAAGGAGTCAGGTCCTGCTTCGGAGCAGCTTTCTCACTCAAGGTACGGTTGCTAACAACCAGATCTTTACCAGGAGGCTTAAGAGAGTCATTGTACCGAGGATTCAAAGAGAAATTCTGAGCAGCAAGAAGGGACCAGATCAAGCAAGGAAAATGTAGGGAACGACGAGACTCAATATTGGCAATGAAAGGCTGAAGAATCTCAAACACAACCTCCCCAAAATTAAAGGGCTGACCCACCATCACCCAATAGATAACCTTGCTTTGCAATTCAGTGAGCAAGGTTTTGTTGGACGTGGGGGTCCAATTCCCTGCTCTCACTTTATGAAGAAGATTTGCAACAAGGCACAAAGAATTAACAGGGAGGTTTGACCCAGGCCAGGTATCAAGCTGATTGGCAGTAAGAACCTGGGTCACAACATCAAGATCAACATCCGGCAAATGGGGAATATCAGAGGGAACACCCAAATGAGCATTGATCAAAGCAGGTGAAAAATCGATAATACGGTTACGCAAAAAGAGTTTATGAAAACGTGGGCTACCAGGTTCAAAGACAGCAGGGGTAAGATTGGCAAAAAATTCACAAACAGCTTGGTCACAGAAAGAACTCAAATCCACAACACTTTTAGACAACCCAACAGAATCAATCAGAGGAAGAACACCAAGTTCAACAAATTTCTCATCCTTAAGAGGATGTTCACTCCAAAACCCATAAGACTTAAAACGCTCAAACCTTACATGAGAGACCTCGGTATAGAACCGGTTTGTAAATGCATTCTCGAGATCATAGGCGTCATCTTCTGGTTCCGGGGGCACCAAATTTTCATCGATTGGTTCTTTGCCTCTACGACGAGTGGAGCGTCGCACTGGGGCCCTTGGAGGTGGAGTGGGTTGGTCTGAGTGAACCTCAACAGCGGTAGCAGCGGTATCATCTTTGTCGCCGTCGGTGATAGACTTGGTGGCAGATGTCGGAACAACAGACGACTCCCCCTGAGCATGAACCGCAGGGGGCTCAACAAACCCAGAGAGGCCAGGTACTCCAGTGGCCAGGGGAGACACTTCAAGATTCTTGCCCATGTTGTTTGATTTAGACGGGGAACCAGATGGAGAACTGGAGAGCATAACAGATTTTGACGGAGGAGACGATTCAGGGGATGGAGATTTTGCCAGTGGAGTGGATTCTCGTGCAGAGCTAGTAGTAAGAGAGAGACGGCGACGCTTCAACCTCTTTTCTTTGTGTTTCTTGAGCCGCTTCTTCGACTTGTCCTTGCTTCCAGCCATGGGAGAAGACGGTGATTGAGATTGAAAAATAGGGTTTCAGAAGGTTTGAAAAGAAGAATAAGAGAAGAAGACAATTTCAGACGAAAAAGGAATGATTGAAAGGTGGAGAATCGTGAGGGATATAAAGTGTTCTGACAAGGATAACTGCAAAAGGCAGTTCCCGAGATTCAAGGTGAGGAGAGAGAAAGAGACGTTGCAAATTGGGCGGTTGATGGCAAGAAACTGATCCCTCCAAATCTGAAATTCAAACACAATACAACCTCTCACACAAATAACTTCTCACATTATTTCGATTTTTAGGAAAGAAATCAGATTTCATATTTGAACATATATTCTTCACAAAATTTTAGACTCAAAATAGATCATATTCAAAAAGGAAATCATATGCAAGTATGCCTAAATTATGAGAAATAAAAATAAGGAATAAAAATTGCACACAAAATAAACTAGATTCAAAAAATCTTTTCCTTCTCAACTTAGACAAAATTGATGGAAATAGCCCACGATCAACTTTGATATTCAGATTTCCCAAGGAACATACGATAAATGGATATATGTATATACACAAGGTAGTGCGAACCACAACAAGAACACATGTCGTATTATTCATAGTGCGTTTCACTTAGTAACAATCACTGCAATAGTGAAAGTCAACCCCACTACTTTGCACCACGATTTTAAGCAAGGATCCTCCACAATTTTATTTTTTTTTTTATTTTTTTTTTAATTAAATTAGCACTACGTTTTTTATGAGGATGGCCACCT